GTTTAAGACAGGTTTGGAAGCAGGAATGGTATTCACTTCCTAAACCACATGCCTCTGGAAATTCTATGAACTTGGAGAAACAATGATAGTTATAGAAAGGCCTCAAGTCTTTTGTTCATAGGGTCGCTATGAGTCGTGCTCAACTCGACAGCAATCAACAACAGAATTGTTTCCTTGCTCCTTCACATGCTAGCCTCATGGTCAAAGTCTAGGTTTCACACGAGCATGGTCAAGTGTTTTGGGACTCTCATTCTTCTTCTTGTTAGCCATAATTTGATATGATTCCCACAGTCAAATATCCTTGCATAGTTAATAAAGCACAAATAGACATCCTTCTGGTATTCTTTGCTTTCAGCCAGGATCCACCTGACATTAACAAAGATATCCCTGGTGTCACAGCCTCTTCTAAATCCTGCTTGAACTTCTGGCAGTACTAAGTACTGTGCTAGGTGTTTTTTAATTATATTCAGCAGTATTTTTGCTTTGTGCCTAATATTTGAGCAATAATTTCTGCATTCTGTTGGATAACCTTTATTGAGAATGGGAACATATACGGATCTCTTCCAGTCAGCTGGCCAGAGTGGTGTCCTCCAAATTTCCTGGCACAGACTGGAGAGCATGTCCAGGGCTGCAGAAGTCATTTGGCACATGCCAATTGGTTATCCCATCAATTCCTGGGGCCTATGTTCTGCCAGTGCCTTCACTGAAGCTTGAACTTCTTCCTGCATTACCAGGGGCTCTTGACTGTGTTTCCTGAAATATCTCAGTGTTGGCCAGTTCTTTCTGTACAGTGATCCTGGGTGTTGGCTCCATCCTCTTTTTTTACCTTCTCTTGACATTTATGGTGTCATTCAAGATTTTGCCTATAGCATCCTTAAGTACTGCAACTTGAGACTTGAGTTTGCTTTTCAATTCTTTCAGTTTGAGAAATGCTGAGCAAGTTCTTCCTTTTTTATTCTCCAATCCCAGTCTCTGCACATTCCATTCTAATACTTTGTCTTCTTGAGCTGCCCTTTGAAATCATCTCTTTAGCTCTTTTACTTCAGCATGTTTTCTCTTTGTTTCTCGACGCTCTAGTACAATTCTCAGAGACTCTTCTTATATCCATTTTGGTTTCTTCTTTCTCTTCTGTCTTTGTAATGACCTTTTGCTCTCTTCATGGGTGATTTACACAACCCATCTGGTCTTTGATTACAGGTGTTCAATGCTTCTTATTCCGAAGATGATTTTGAAATTCAGGTGGAATAGACTCAAGATCATATTTTGGTTCTTGTGGTCTTGTTTTAATTTTCTTCAGCGACAGTTTGAAATTGCACATGAGTAATAATAGATGGTCTGTTCCACAGTCAGCACCTGGCCTAGTTTGGACTGCTGATATTGAGATTCTCCAATGCTTGCTTCCACAAATGTAATTAATCTGACTCTTATTCAATCTACCAGGTGAAGCCCATGTGTAAAGTCACTGTTTGTGTTTTTTTAAAAAAAATATATTTGCATGGTACAACCACCATGGAAGGCTACGTGGTGCTTCCTCAAAAGCTGCAAATAGAGTTCACAATTAAGGTTGCATAGTGGAAGGTACTTGGGGCGGTGGGAGGGATGCGGGGGGATTGTGTACCAGGGAGGGAGTCTTTCTTTTGAAGAGAGGAGCGAACTGGGGGGTGGGGGGAGAGGGCTGGGCGGGTAGAGAAGTGCAGCAATGAATGAATGGAAATCCAAATTCTCTGTAAATGTTCATTAAAATTATTTTTAAAAAGCTGCAAATAGAAATACCATTTGACCCAGCAATTCCACTACTGGGAATATACCCCAAAGAGACCATAACTGCTACCCAAGCAGATATATGCACACCTATGTTTATTGCGGCTTTGTTCGCAACAGCAAGGAGTTGGAAACAACCTAAGTGCCCATCAACAAACGAATGGATAGAGAAGCTGTGGTATGTTCACACAATGTAATTCTACACTGCATTGAAAAACAAGGAACTTATACAATATTATTCAAAATGAGTGACCCTGGAGGACATTATGCTGAGTGAAGTATCTCAGTCACAAAAGGACAAATACTGCATGATGCCACTGTTGTAAAACAGGACTGACCTCAGGGTTGGGGGGAAACTGAGAAAGATGGGATAAATAATGTATACTGCATTGAAACAGATGAGGGAGAAACTGTTTAAGAGGGGAAAATTATTAGGTATTTTTGTCATGACAGGAGTCCAGAGCAAGGCTGCATAGTGGAGTGGACCTTGGAGGAGGGTTTGTAAAACAATGAGATAATTTTTCTTTTACTTTTCCAAGAGGGTAGTGTACTGGGCGGGAGGGTTGGGAGGAGAGAAAAGTGCAACAATGAATGAATGTAAATCCAAAGTCTCTGTAAATTTTCATTGAAAGTAATAATTTTTTTAAAAAAGGTATTTGCAATGAATAAATAATTGAAAAGACAAAATTAGATCATTTGATTTCTAGCCTCATTTCTGTCACCAAGTCCGTACTTTCTGACTAATATTCCTTCTTCATTATTTCCTACTTTTGCATTCCAGTCACCAATCACAAAAGCCCACCTGCCAAGTTCCAAATGGTTTAAACAAGAGGCTCCCAGCCCACAACTGACTGTAAATCAAATTAAAAAGACCCACCTTCTGTATCCTAACTGCTTCAAACAAGAGGCTCCTAGAATCCCCTGCCCCACATCTCATGCAATTTAGTGCCTCTGAAAACCTGCTGGAAGGTCAGCTATGAGTAGATTCTGAGTCTACAGCAAACAACAAAAATCATTTAGCCATTGCAATAAGAAAAGAAATCTTAAGAAACGAACAAAGCTCATTGTTTTCGAGTCAATTCATCTCAGTGATGTCTTATCCGGTGTCCCAGGCTGTGAATCTCCATGGAAGACTTTGGCCTGAGAAGTAGCTGGCAGATTTGAACCAATGATCTTATGGTTAGCAGCACAACAGATAACACCTGATGCAACCAGGGCTCCTAAGACAAGAAGAGACTGACCAAGAAAAAAGATTGAGAACATTTGCAACATAAAAAAAGGAACACTTTTCAACCATTACAAGACATCTTTAAAAACCTGAAAATCTAAGTTACAAACTGACAGGAGATACTAACGAAAGATATGGGAGCAAACCTCCTACAGAAAAATGGGCATGAGGGCAACAGCTGTTTCCCAGAGAAGGAGACCAGTACTACCCACAGACACATGCAAAGGTGTCTAAGACCAGCAGTCAGCAAGTGCAGCCCAAGACCCCAGAAGCTTCTCAGATTCAGTCAAGGGCAGGATTAGAAGGTCTGACCTCCCCAGGCTGATATAATTGTGAGGACCCTTCGAGCTCATGGACATCCTTGATGGAACAGAAGTTGTCCCCAGCTTTGGAAAACAGCTGTTAGCTCCTACGATTCACCAACCCTAGGATCATAAATCCTGCCCCTCGGTGCAGACACGAAAGAGGCACAGCATAAAGGAGACAGATGTGGGAACATTGCCAGAAGCTCTGGCAGAAATAACCTAAAGGCACAGCCGAGGCATCAGGTGCAGAATCTGTGACATGTTCACCAAGAAACTTTGTTACAGTAAGACCCATGAGGAGGCGAATCTCAGCAGAGAGAGAGGCACAAAAAGTCCAAGTCTCCTGACAAAATGCAAGATGTTTTTCCTGAAAAGTGGAAATGCCCAAATTATCAGTTCAAACTCGCTGTGGTGCACTGGCTCCCAGCTGGCCCTCCAGTGGTGTTACGGGCTGTAAACCGCACGGAGAATGACTGGCTTTCTCCCACAGAGCAGTGCATGGGTTCAAGCCGCCTGTCGGGGTTGGCAGTGCAGCTCCTCACCACGTGGCCACCAGAGACAGACTATGTTTAGAACACGGGTTTAAAAGGTCGCTTTTATATAGGATCACTGAGTTGCAGGTGACTCGATGGCACAACAACAACAGGATACCAAAACCCAGGTCAAACCATTGTTGTCGAGCCAGCTTCAACTCATCGTGAGCTCTGGAGTCTTAGCGTAAGGAGCTGCGCTGCAGTCCCAAAGGCAGGGGTTCAAACCCACCAGCTGTTCCATGGGGGATGGGCACTCTCCTCCATGTGATTTACAGCCTCTGAAAACCAGCCGGCAGGTCAGCTGTGAGTCAGCTCTGATTCGGAGGCAGTGAATTTGAATTTTTGTTTGAGAACTGCTTCCTCCCTCTCATAGAGTGGCCGGTGGTTTGAAGTCTCCAACCATCAACCTGGGCTCTTTCTAGGACCTGAGTCAGGATCTGAGCCGCCACTTCCTCCACACAAGAGCAACAGGCTTCTGCAGACTGCGTTCAGACAACACAAATGCATCCATTCCGTTGCCCGGGTGTGCCCTAAACCACAGCTCTCACCTGGGAAGACTCACATCTGCCTGTGTCCCCCAGAGAAACTTCCCACAGATGCCCAAGCAGAGACTACCTGCATGGGCAGGTGTGCCCAGCAGAAGGACGGGCAGGCCGTGGAGGAGGCTCGGTGGGCAGGCGTCCACCCTGCCAGCCCCACGGGCACGGTTCCTCTCACAGCCGGCATGCCCAGCAGCAGGGGGTGGGGCCTCTCGTCCTGGGCAGCTCCCCACCCAGGGGACGGCAGGGCAGAGGGATGGAGGGTGCGGAGGGAAGAAGCTACAGCGAAGATGCCAGCAGGTAGCGAGGTTTTTGGGTTGAGGAGGACAATTAGGAAGGTGAGGTCCGAGGGGACACTGGGCCACACAGGGTGGATGACCACCAGATGGAAGTGACCTCCCGGTATGTTGGTGGGGACCCTGAGACTCCAGGAGTGGAGAGGCCAAGTGGCTGGACCCTGGGACCGTCAGGGGGTCCCAGGCACGGAGGCCAGTGAACACCATCCACATAGAGGACTCCACACCGTCAGGCCAGTGTGTCTCCAATTCCCACCCCACAGGCTTTTGTGGTCCCCAGGATGCACCGCGGACACCCGCACTTCCAAGACTGTTACCTGGTACTCTGGGTGGCTGACCCCAAGGGCCCCTGGCCACCTTCCCACTGCGAGGTGCAGCCATCTGTACATGTACCGTGGGCACAGTGCACTTGGAGGGCCAGGCCCGGGCCAGCGCGGCCCCAGGGACCCTCTGCTCTGCGGACTGGAGGTGGTCAGGGGCCGAGATCCACGCACGGGGCTCGGGGCCCAGGCAGCTCCACTCAGCTGACAGCCAGGAGGGTGCAGGGAAGGTGCAGAAAAGTACCTGGTCCTCCTTCACTCTGCAGTCAGGCGTGGCTTGGGGGAGTCCTCGTGCCGGGCCTGGCATGGCCGAGGGGCACCTTGCTCTGGGCTGCTGGGTACCTGGGAGCGAGGGCGCAGCCAGGTGGACCCTGGAGAGGGCCGATGCCTGCTTCTTGCCCTTCCGGAAACTCACGCCTTCGACACAGAGGTCCGAGCCGCTGAATGGTGGCAGTTCCACGGCCGGCTGGGGAGGGGGCAGCCATCAGGGGACTGAGAGGTGCCCAGCGCCCAGGCCAACCCTAACGCAGAGTAGTCACTGACTGAGGACACCTACACGGCTTGCAGCAGAACGAGGGTTTGTGGCCCATTTCTGGGAAGCAGGCTGCTGGGAGGTGCCTTTGAGTGAACGGGAACTGTCAAGCTTTTGGGGGTGTAACCTTTGCTTAGCTGACCCTTGCCCAGTGTCTGGGGAAAAGAGCCCCTCTGGGCAGAAATGATCTCTAAAGGGGAGCATTGCACCCCCATCCTGTTGACTATGGAGTTGGGCAGCAGGAAGAGAAGGCCAGCCCGCGGGGCCAGGGGCAAATGGCCAGGCCCTCAGGACATAGGGCCTCTGGACCTCCCTGTGTCCACTGCAGCCGAGTGGGCCTTTAGGTACAACAGCCAGTGTCACCCCCAGTGGCCTGAGGGACAGGCTACTGTCCACATCCTCCATGTCTCAATGCCCTGGCCAGATGGTCCACACCACCTAGACTCTGAGGTGGGCTGAGGCTGGTGCCTCAGCGTCTAGAGCTGGGGGCAGGTGCTGCACCTCCCCCCTCATACCTCCCCCTCGTCACCTGCCCCTGATGGGCCTGCCTTCACCACTGACCCCACACCCACCTGCTGTCACCCCCCTCTGACCCCTCACCCACTTGCCCTCACCTCTGACCCTTCACTTACCTGTTGTCACCCACCTCTGACCCCTCACCACCTACCCTCACCCGCGACCTCTCACCCACATGTCCCACCACTGACCCCTCATTGACCTGGGCCCCAGGCCCTTTCACCAGTCCCGCACCCCCACCTGTCTCCACAGCAGCTCGAAGTTGCCAATGTCACAGTTGCGGTCAACCCTGCGGTCCACCACCACCTTGAGGGTGTCCTCCTGCACCTGGGCGCAGAGCTGGGCGGTGACGGGCGTGGAGGGGTGCATGGAGGGGCTGGAGTTGATCTCGATGAGCCAGGGCTTGAAGTCCCTGCCGAGGACGAAGTCGGCGCCATACAGCTCGAAGCTGTTCTTGCGGGCCTGCACGCGGTCCTGGGCCACCTTCATGGTGTGGGTAATGACTCTCTTCATGGATGGGTAGATGAGGCTGGCCCACACGGGCCCGCGGCCCCGGCGCTGCAGGTACTCCTGGAACTTGGTGCTGGTCCACATGTTGTGACCGGGCAGCAGTGGGCTGCGGTCCTTGGCGTTCTTGAGGTGCTTCTGAATGGAGTTGTTGCACAAGTGGATGGCACTGTGGGTGACCGGGGCATCAGGGACTGTCCCCCGGGCCCTGAGTGGAGGGGTGCAGGCGGGGGGAGGCAGGAGCACCTGAGTCAGCCCTGGGTCCAGCTGAGGGACCCTCCAGACTGTACTAGGAATGGGGACAGTGGGGAAGGAGCCCACAGGAGAGGCAGCAAGGACAACTCTGGCCACACTGACCGTGGTTCATGGTGACTCAGTGTGTGTCAGAGTAAACTGCGCTCCCAGGGTCTTCAGGGCTCACACCCCCTGAAATAGTGGGTCAGGCCTTTCTTCCTCATGCCCCACATGGACGTCTGGCCAGCAGCTGAGCGTGCTGATAGTTTGAAGCTAGCTAGGCCGGGGTGGACGGCTTGGCTCTCAGGCCAGCAGGGACTCCCCAGCCTGGGTTTCTCTCCCTGCAGGGCTTCAAGCCTGGTATGATAGCCCCTACTTCACGCCCTTGGTCCTGGCTGGGGGAGGCCCATTAGGGCAGGTAGCAGGGCAGTAAGACCACTTAGGCTTCCCCAGGTAACCTGGAGGCACCACAGAGGGTCGGGCCTGCCTTCCTCATGCCCCACATGGACAGTTCAGATAGCTCACGTCAGAGGACTCTGTGTCTCCAAAAGAAGGGCTCTACCCTTCACTGTCCTCTGCAGGGCTGCAAGCCACAGCAACCCCTGAGAGGCCACTGAGCTGCCCAGGCCAGCTGGACTGTGCCCACTCAATGCCCCAGAGGGACCGGCGGAACAGGAAAGTCTGTGGGTGTGCAGACCCTAGCTAGCAGCTGGTCCTTCACTGTCCAGCAGAGCAAGACACGTTCTGTCAGGGTGGCCCCCACCCTTGATGAACAGACACTTCAGTCCTCTAGGGCGTGAAGCATAGGGGTGGCTTTGGTGGCCAGGGGCCTGTGTTCTCCCTGTGCCCTCTGGTGGAGTAGACAGGCCTGTGCTTCCCCACCACCACCCTCTCACAGTAGTGAGTGGGCCTGTGTCCCCCCCCAACACCCTGTCATGGTGATGGACAGGCCTGTGTCCCCCACACTGCACCCTCTTGTGGTGGCCAGGCCTGTGTCCCCCACAATGCACCCTCTTGTGGTGGTGGACAGGTCCCCGGACTGCACCCTCTCATGCCTATGTCCCCCCACTGCATCCTCTCATGGTGGCCAGGCCTGTGTCCCCCGATTGCACCCTCTCGTGGTGATGGCCAGGCCTGTGTCCCCCACCGTGCCCTCTGCTGGTGGACAGCATGAGGCTTGCCCTGACCTGTCCAGGTTGTCCAGGGAGAAGCGCTGGGTGGAGAAGCGGAGATAGCTCTCCTTGTAGAACCAGATGGTGAGGGGGTTCCAGTCGGTGACAAGGAACCACTGCCGGATGTCAAACTTGGTGTCATAGATGAGAAGGGGTGTCTCAATGTACTTCTGGGCCACCCACTTGTTGTCCTTGGCAGAAAGGTGGTCTGCAGCCACCAGCTCCAGGATCTCCTCCACACGGTCCATGCACACGATGTCTGTGAGACCCACAATCAGCCACATGTAGCCAGCTGGGGTGGCCCCAGCCCACATCTGGAACCCATGTCTGCTCGGTCAGTGACCAGGAGGCAGAATGGCTGGGGAGGGACAGCGGCAGTGTCCTCACCACCAGCCCAGCTCTGGTGCAGGCTGAGCACAGCTCCACACCACACCCTGGGACATGCACTTTCTCATGTAGCAGCCATCAGCCAGCGCTGGAGGACCCAGAGGGCCCTAAGGGGCGAGAAGGGGCTCTGAGGGAGCGGGATGTCCACTGGGACGGGGTTACAGCTATCCCTACCCAGATTCAGACATGCCACACGGTGAGTGGTAGCAGGTGGGATGTGGCAGAAGCATCCCTTTGCTGTAGCACTTAATGCCAGGGACAGACCCCAAGCCTTCTCCTTGCGGTAACCTGACGTCTCAATAGGGGGGTGGCAGACGGTCTCGGGGACGGATGCGCAGGATGGAGGAACACAGAGTCACTGCACCAAAAGAACTGGTCAACGGAACCGATGGAGAGCCAGCTGAGCTTTCAGGGAGCTGCAGCCGTGCATGTGCTTGAGTCTCTGCTAAGAGATACAGAAGACAGCTACCTGGCCAACTGACTGCAAGAGGTCTGTATTGTCCCCATTCCCAAGAAAAGGGATCCAACAGAATGTGGACATTAAGAAACAAAATCATTAGTGTTGCATGCCAATAAATCTTGCTGAAGATGACTTTAAAAACAGCCTAAACAGAACATTGACAGAGAACTGCTAGAAACGAAAGCTGGATGTAGAAGAGGCCTGGTACCAGAGGTGTCACTGCTGATGCAAGATGGATCCTGGCTGAAAGAAGAAAAGCCAGAAGGACGACTATTTGTATTTTATTGACTATACAAAGGCATTTGATGGTGTGGATCTTGACAATTAGGCTAACATTGAGAAGAATGGGAAATCTCAGGATACTTAATTGTACTTATGTGAAAACTCTGCCAACACAAAGGCACATGGTTCAAATCCACTGACTGCTCACAGGCAAAACATGGGCATTCTCCTCTTGTGTAATTTACAGCCTCTGAAAACTTGTTGGAGGGTCAGCTATGAGTTGATCCCGACTCAATGGCACCCACCACCACCACCACCACCAAAACCGCTACCTAGACTTAGAGACAGTCGTGTGAATAGAACAAGGGGACACCGCATGGTTTAAAATCAGGAAAGGTGGACGTCAGGATTGTGTCCTTCCTCTATACCGATTCCATCTGTATGTTGAGCAAATCATCCGAGAATAGACTCTATGAAGGAGAATGTGGCATCAGGATTGGAGGAAGACTCATCAATAACCTGAGTTACGCAGATGACACAACCTCATTCAAAGTGAGGAGGACTTGAAGCACTTCCTGATGAAGCTCAGACTTAAAAAGGTTTTAATTAAAACCTTTAATTAAAAAGGTTTTAATATGGATTACATCTCAACATCAATCAAACGCAAATTCTCACCACTGAGCCAACAGGAAACATCATGATAGGTGGAGAAGAGATTCACATTGGCAATGATTTTAATTTTACTTGGTTCCACAATCAACACCCATGGCAGCAACAGTCAGTAAATCAAAGGATGTGCTGCACTGGGAAAAGCTGCTGTTGAGGATTCTCCAAAGAGCTAATGTGCAAGGATGTCAGCTTAAAGACTAAGGTGCACCTGATCCAAGCCATCGTCTTTTCCATGACTTCCTGTGCATCTGAAACTCAGACAATGAACAAAGCAGAACTGTGGTGCTGGAGAAGAATACTGAGTATCCTATGCTCTGCCAAAAGCACTATTCTCATTCCTTTAGTGTTCATAGCATTTTCAAAGGCCTGTTATTTAGGAAGGAGATGGCCCATTCTGCTTCTTAGTCCATCTTAATCAGGGAGCTCCACCAAAATCTGTCCACCATGGGTAGCCCTTCTGGCATTTGACACACCAGTAGCACAGCTTTCAGTATCACAGCAACTCCAAGTTTTCTCAGTACAGCAAACTGACAGACAATTGCTGTACCACTTAGAACAATGTTCTCCCCAACACAATTAACACAGGTCCTCTGGCCTAAACCGACTTTTAAATACAAAGGCCTGCCTACCAGGTACTGATTGCTTAAGCAAGAGGCTTCCAGACCACAGCATATTGTTAACAAAATAAAAATAGCCAATCAGCTTACACTTAGTTGTTAACAAAATAAAAAGCACCCAAATAGTTTGCATGCAACTTTCAATTAAATAAAAACAACCTACCCTCCAGAATCTAACTGTTCCAAACTGAAGACTCTCAGGCAGGATCCAACTAACTTTTAAGTACAAAAGCTTGCCAAAGGCTTGGATCCACAATTAACACCCTTGGCACCAGCAGTCAGGAAATAAGGAGACACACTGCACTGGGAAAATCTGCAGTTAGGGACCTCTCCAAAATATTGAGGAGTAATGATGTCAGTTTTAGGACTAAGGTGCATCCTAAACATTTTCTGTGCATCTGAGAGCTGGACAGAATAAAGAGGACAGAAGAATTGACACCTTTGATCTGTGGTGTTGGAGAAGAGCACTGAACATCCCATGGACAGCCAAGAGAACATGCAGATATGTCTTGGAGAGGGTGCAGCCAGGGTGCTTTTTGGAGGCAAGAATGATGAGGCTTCACCTCACATACTTTGAGAATGTTGCTAAGAGGGATTTTTCCTTGAAGGACATGATTCTGGGAAGGGTGGAGGGTCGGCGAAGGAGAGGAAGACCCTCAACCAGGTGGATTGATACGATGACTGGTACAATAGGCTCTTGTGTGTCAGAAAGTGTGACAATGGTGCAGGACAGGACTGGGCTCAAATCTTTTGCTCATAGGGTCGCTATGAGTTAACTCGACAGCTCCTAACATCAACACCATCACCATCACCTCCTAGAACAGGTCGAAAATTCCTGACAGTGCCGGGTGCTGGCCAGGACGCAGAGCACCAGGCCTCGCACTGCTGGTGGGAAGCAAGACGAACGGGTACTCTAAGATGTGGTCTGTCAGCTTCTTAGCCAGGTGCCACCGAGAAAGCCCAGACTCAGAGTGACCCTGTGTAGGGCAGAACCCAGCGTGCCAGGCCTCCTGGCACCCTCACAGTCAAGGCTGGGTCTGGGATCCTGCTGCAGCCATTATGTCTCCTCTCTTCACTGATGAAAGTCATTCTTCTTTCTTACTGGCCTTCTATTTTGCCAAGCATGAGGCCCACATCTCCACAGACTGGCCCCTCCCAGTGGATGGACCAACACAGTCACTGATAATGGGCTCATATGTGTCAGAGATGGTGGGGTTGGCTCAGGTCTGGGCAAGGTTCAGAGGCATTGTTCAAGGGTCACTATTGGTCATAGTCAACTCAATGTCAAGTAACAATAACTGATTTCTGAAGTCTGAGATTGATGAAACATGCAATCAAGATACATCAACAGTTGATGACAGGAATGCAAAAATTGGAAACAAAAAAGACAGACTGGTAGTGGGAAAATATGGCCCTGGTGGTAGAAACAAGGCTGGAGAGCTCATAATAGAATATTTTTCTATGATGTATTCATTGCAAATGCCTTGTTTTTAAAGGGGAGAAAAGTGCAACAATGAATAAATAGAAATCCAAATTTCTGTAAATTTTCATTGAAATTAATAATAAATTTTAAAAAACCAACCAAAAAAAAACACCAAACAAAACAAAACCACAACCAAAACACATGGACCTTAGCTGACGGACTCAATAATCAGATTGATTACATCTGTGGAAAGAATCACTGGAGAATCTCAGTATCAGCTGTGAAAACAAGGTCAGGGACTGACTACGGAACAGATATCAGTTAATGGAAGTTCAAACTGAAGGATCGGCGCCATGAATCCTTGGGGCCTAGCGAGGCGTCTTGGCAGCCCTTGGGTCACCACGTGGAGAGCTGCAAAATCATCCCTTTTGTATCATTCTTTGAGGAAAACAAGTTCTGCTCAAGGAGGTAAATTTGAACCCAGAAAACAATCCCTTAAGAAGCCAAAGTTACCAGAAGGTCGTTTTGATGCCCCAGAAGGTTCCTATTTAGAGAAAGAACCACTGGAAAAATTTCCAGATGGTGTTAATCCTGTTACCAAAGAAAAGGGTGGGCCCAGGGCCCAGGGGCCCGGAACCTACGCGCTACGGAGACTGGGGACGAAAAGGGCGCTGTATTGACTTTTAAGTCACATATTTCATGCTCACTGTTTCTGAATATAGACATCTGAATTAACGGCAAAAAAAAAAGTTCAAACTGAAGCTAGGGAAGATTAAAACAATTCATAAAACCAAAATATGATCTTGAGTTTATCTTGCCTGCATTTAAAAGCTATCTCAAGAACAGAAAGGTACACAGAATGCTAATGACCAAAGAACAGAGGAGTTGTGGATGACGTCAGGGACATCTTACACGAAGAAAGCAGGTCATTCAAAAGACCGGGAAGAAAGAAAAGACCACAGCTGTCAGGAGAGACTCTGAAACTGCTTTTCATTGCTGGGAAGATAAACTGAAGGGAAGAAATGGTCACGTGAGAGAACCTGGCAGAGAATCCCAGAGGGCGGCTTTGTGCAGAGAGCGAGTTAGAAAAGGCAATGGCAGCAACGCGCGGAGCACTGGGATCCGAATTCAAGGCTGCAGTCCCTGACCTTCTGCAGTGGAGGTCCTCCTCAGTTTAAGTCCTCCTCAGCTTCAGTGAGCAAAGTTGTGTCATCTGAATAATGCAGGTTGTTCATGAGTCTTACTCCAATCTTGATGCCACATACCTCCTCATAAAGTCCTGGATGATCTGCGGGTGTATAGACTGAAAAGGTGTGGAGACAGGATACAATGTGACACACTCCTTTCTTGATTTTGGACTATGCAGTGTTCCCTTGCTCTGTTTGAACAACGGCTTGTTGGTCTAGGTCTAGATTTTACCTGAGTACAATCAGGTCTTTTGAGATACCCATTCTTCTCAAGGTCAGCCACAGTTTGTTGTG